GGGGGGGGGGGGGGGGGGGGGGGGCGCACAAATGTACATCCTAAAACAGTAAAACAAAGTAAACCAAAAAACAACAAAACCAGCAAGATAAATAATAATCACCTTCACTTTGTAGTCAGGATTTTCATCAAGAGCCTTAAGCAGACAAGGAGTACTAAGCTTTGCAATCCAACGAGCAGCAGCAACCATCCCACAGTGTGCATATCCCAAAACTAGGTTGCTTATCCCCCCATCATGTAAAACCGAATGGTGAAAAGGGACGACTGCACCTGTTGCTGCAGTTAGAGTATCTTTGATACCATGAGTTCCTCGAATGAGCAGAAACAAGCATTTTGAATTTCTATCACATAAAATAGTAAACGCAGGCTTCAGAAGCTGCAACATCAAATATGAGCATTAGACATGAAAAAGAATAGTTCATACTTCATGAAGGTTTCAAATTTAATCACAATTTGGTGCATTATCGACATTAACACACCCCTGCTTTGGGCTTCTGAAGAAGGACATCTTCCTGAGAGTAGCCAGCAGACTCCAAGAATATTCGAAATGGCTTCTTTGAGAAAAGCATACAAAGGATCAACAACCTTAAATAATGATTCAAGTCCGCAATAATATAAGGGCCCTTGAGTTGTACACAGTTATCTCCAGCATAGACACTCGCAACTTGTAAATTACCCTGAATAACAAAACAACAAATGCTCATTAGTATTTCAGCTCTACATTCACATTTCAAACACGCAAGTTGAGGCAAATAAGAAGCATCCAAAACAATACCCATCAAAATCCAGAGAAAAAAGCTGAAGAGAAGATATCAATTTCATTCCTGAACCTACAGTAACACACACAAGCAATGGTGTCTTATCTCACCAATTACCGACATTCTCACATATTACATTTTCCCTCAATTTCTCCATTTTTTGCAAGCAACTAACTCAGACAGATACTTCTCTGTATATGTTTTCAACACTAATCAGATCTGGACTAGGTATACACTATAATTGGCAGCTGAATTCAACCTGGAGTTGTCCTTAAAGAAATGATCTCCAATCAGAAATTGTGCAGCTACGAGTACAATTATTCAGTTTAAAAGTTGAGTCAATTGAATTCAATAAAAATCCACATCCAAAAAAAAAAAAAAAAAAGTAAACTACAATGTTACAGTGTATATGTACTTAAGTTCAACAGTTTAATCGTGTCAATATCAAGTAGATATTTGTGAAGAAACTATGCATCAAACGGGAGAAAACTCTTCAACTTTATCGACTCAAACAACAATGAGCAATAAAATGAAACATCGAAACCTTAAGGAACTAAAAAAACCCAGAAAAAATATCATCAACTACAACATACCTGCCTTCGGATGAGATAGTTAATTCCAAAAGCCAAATCCCCAATAGGCCATTTCCCTAGTGTCTCTGAATACGTAAACCTAAGCGTCTCAGACAAGGTTGTGATGGTTTCAAACCACGTCGCAGGGGCTTGAGCTGGCCTTCTCGCAATCCTCCTCTTCACCCCCACAGATCTACTCGATGATTTCGAGTACTCACCATTCCCCTCCTCATCTTCGCCTTTCACCGCCGATGATGATAGTCTCCTACTCAATACGTAGTACAAAAGCACCACCGCACCTGCCGCCGTCGCCATTGTCGTCGCCGCCATCGAATCACAGAGAATTCACCAGTGGCCACTCGATTCAATCCAAAATATGTATAATGAGGTTGGAGATCCGAAGATCATGTAATAATGACACGTTTGTACAAGATCGCAGCTCCAAAAAGTAAGACTTGAATCAAATAAACGCAAATTTGGGGAAAAACTTGGGCTTAGATGAATCACGGAAGAAGAAGTAGAAATCGAAGAATGTGGAGTTCATATATATAAGCGTGTGAATTCTATATATATGTATACATATATAGATATATATACATAGAGAGAGAGAGAGAGGATTTGGAAGAAGATGGAGGACCACCAAGCCGGGAACGGAGGTTGCCAGCGTTGGACTGTTACTTTCTAGGAGAAGGTAAGCAATGACGATAATGCCCTTGTATCACACTAATTGATGTGGGGGTATTGCCGTATTGGCCTGAATGGGGAGGGAATCAGGTGGGTATAACGGTAATTTGGAGGATAATGCGCTGTGTTTGGGTAAGGAAGGAGGGTGCGTACGTAGAGCATCCAACTGAGACAGTTTGGGACCGGGGAAGATAAGGACAACGAAAGTGGTGGACACGTGGCCCTGCTTATGGTGGGCCATGGGCTTTGGAAGTGGGTGGGCCTATCCATCGAGGATGTACTTCTAAAGTGGTCCAGTGGTGAACAGTAAACCATCTGTTCCACTAACGACTGGCACCAAACAAGACTGACTTGGCCCATTGTTCTTGGGCCCCAGGTTATTCACAAGTCAATGGGTCAGGATTGGCATGGATTCGGACAGAAATGGCCCAACAACCAACTGGTTATGTCCATGGGCCGAGTCTCCATGCTCTTTATAGTCAATGGGTAAGAACTAGACGAACCCCTCGAAGGAAAGACAACCTAAGGTTTTGCCGAGTAATTTGACCTTTTATTAAGGGTGTCAATCGTGTCGTATCGTATTAATTTTGTATTGTGTCATTTTCGATCTTGTTATTTTTGTTTTATATCACTTTCAGAACTTATCAGATTCGTGTTAATAAAAAATTATTTAATTTGACAACAACTAATATAATATTATTTAAAAAATTATAAAAAAATTATAAAATTCTTATTTTCTATCTAAAATATTCATTAAATAATTATTTTCTATTTACAGTACCCATTAATCGTGTTATTCGTTCGAACCTTAATTTGACTAATTTATTCCTCGTGTCAATGAATCGTGTTATTTTTGGGTTCATGTCAGTTCAAGTCAAGTTCGTGTTCGAGTCAAAAATTGACACCCTTACCTTTTATGGACCTTAAGCTATTCAAGGTCAGTGGGTTGAATCAGGTCATCCCCTTTGATTGAGGAAGGCCTAAAAGGCCCCTGACCCCACCCGTTAGGCTAACAGGCCAAACACAAGCCTTTTTTATCTGATGGTCCACAAAAAGCTCATAATTGGCCAACAACACGAACCCGCTTATACATCACTCTAACTAGGGGTGTAACTTGGGTTGGGCACCAGATTTCAACTCGAGCTCAATCCGAAAAAATTAGGGGCTTAGGTTAGGGTTTTAATATTTGAGTTGTGTTTTGGTCAAAAAATCTCAACCTAAATTCAATTTGAGCGGGCCTCGGGTTGACCTCTTGGGTTTCCGGGTTGAACCCCAATATTAAAATCGGGTTCGACCAGAATATTAAAAATCATATAAATACATTTTCTAATTTAGGGTTAATCTGTGATTTTGTTCAGCTCACTCTCAGTCTTCATTGCGCCTCCCTCACTCAGTCTCAGATTCTTGTGTGCCTTCCTCACTCACTCTATCTCACTCTCAGATCCTTCTGACCTGTCGTTTTCTCCCTCTCTCAGCCGACCTCCTCCTTCTCTCAGATTTATTGTGCACCTCCCTCCCTCCCTCACTCTATCTCACTCTTAGTTCAATCGACTCTCCCTTCATCTCAATCGAAAAAAATCAGATCTACACTTGAAAAGAGATCTCATCTCGGAGCAGATCTACCATCTACTGTCATCTCAGATCAGATCAGTTAATTTTCAGACTTCTTTTCACTCTCAGTCTAATAGAAAACATGCTCGATATTTTCAGGTGAGAGTCTCAGATGCAATTTTTTCAGAGTTTATTTTAGATTTTGTTCAGAGTTTATTTTAGATTTTGTTCAGAGCTAATCAATGTTCATTTTTCCTTTTGATCATTTTGCTAGTTCATGGCAGCAGTTTGTGTTCTGTTAAATTACAGTGCCAACAGTTTGTGATTTGTTTAAATAACAGTGGCAGTAGTGGGTAGTGGCCACCCCTTGCGCCTTTGTGCAAGGATTATGTTTATTTCTGTTAAACTGTTGTACAAAGATTCTGGTTGTGGTTGCATTGAAGTAACCTGAAATCAACCCGTAAAGTAACTCGAAATCAGTTCAAAATTATTAACCTGAATTTAACATGAGCTTGCCTGAATTACAATCGGGACAGTGCTAGGGTTGAGTTTCTCAACCTGAGTTAGGGTTAGAGTTGAATATTATATACTTAGTNAAGTGGTGGACACGTGGCCCTGCTTATGGTGGGCCATGGGCTTTGGAAGTGGGTGGGCCTATCCATCGAGGATGTACTTCTAAAGTGGTCCAGTGGTGAACAGTAAACCATCTGTTCCACTAACGACTGGCACCAAACAAGACTGACTTGGCCCATTGTTCTTGGGCCCCAGGTTATTCACAAGTCAATGGGTCAGGATTGGCATGGATTCGGACAGAAATGGCCCAACAACCAACTGGTTATGTCCATGGGCCGAGTCTCCATGCTCTTTATAGTCAATGGGTAAGAACTAGGCCAACCCCTCGAAGGAAAGACAACCTAAGGTTTTGCCGAGTAATTTGACCTTTTATTAAGGGTGTCAATCGTGTCGTATCGTATTAGNTGGTTATGTCCATGGGCCGAGTCTCCATGCTCTTTATAGTCAATGGGTAAGAACTAGACGAACCCCTCGAAGGAAAGACAACCTAAGGTTTTGCCGAGTAATTTGACCTTTTATTAAGGGTGTCAATCGTGTCGTATCGTATTAATTTTGTATTGTGTCATTTTCGATCTTGTTATTTTTGTTTTATATCACTTTCAGAACTTATCAGATTCGTGTTAATAAAAAATTATTTAATTTGACAACAACTAATATAATATTATTTAAAAAATTATAAAAAATTTATAAAATTCTTATTTTCTATCTAAAATATTTNAATATTATTTAAAAAATTATAAAAAAATTATAAAATTCTTATTTTCTATCTAAAATATTTATTAAATAATTATTTTCTATTTACAGTACCCATTAATCGTGTTATTCGTTCGAACCTTAATTTGACTAATTTATTCCTCGTGTCAATGAATCGTGTTATTTTTGGGTTCATGTCAGTTCAAGTCAAGTTCGTGTTCGAGTCAAAAATTGACACCCTTACCTTTTATGGACCTTAAGCTATTCAAGGTCAGTGGGTTGAATCAGGTCATCCCCTTTGATTGAGGAAGGCCTAAAAGGCCCTTGACCCCACCCGTTAGGCTAACAGGCCAAACACAAGCCTTTTTTATCTGATGGTCCACAAAAAGCTCATAATTGGCCAACAACACGAACCCGTTTATACATCACTCTAACTAGGGGTGTAACTTGGGTTGGGCACCAGATTTCAACTCGAGCTCAATCCGAAAAAATTAGGGGCTTAGGTTAGGGTTTTAATATTTGAGTTGTGTTTTGGTCAAAAAATCTCAACCTAAATTCAATTTGAGCGGGCCTCGGGTTGACCTCTTGGGTTTCCGGGTTGAACCCCAATATTAAAATCGGGTTCGACCAGAATATTAAAAATCATATAAATACATTTTCTAATTTAGGGTTAATCTGTGATTTTGTTCAGCTCACTCTCAGTCTTCATTGCGCCTCCCTCACTCAGTCTCAGATTCTTGTGTGCCTTCCTCACTCACTCTATCTCACTCTCAGATCCTTCTGACCTGTCGTTTTCTCCCTCTCTCAGCCGACCTCCTCCTTCTCTCAGATTTATTGTGCACCTCCCTCCCTCCCTCACTCTATCTCACTCTTAGTTCAATCGACTCTCCCTTCATCTCAATCGAAAAAAATCAGATCTACACTTGAAAAGAGATCTCATCTCGGAGCAGATCTACCATCTACTGTCATCTCAGATCAGATCAGTTAATTTTCAGACTTCTTTTCACTCTCAGTCTAATAGAAAACATGCTCGATATTTTCAGGTGAGAGTCTCAGATGCAATTTTTTCAGAGTTTATTTTAGATTTTGTTCAGAGCTAATCAATGTTCATTTTTCCTTTTGATCATTTTGCTAGTTCATGGCAGCAGTTTGTGTTCTGTTAAATTACAGTGCCAACAGTTTGTGATTTGTTTAAATAACAGTGACAGTAGTGGGTAGTGGCCACCCCTTGCGCCTTTGTGCAAGGATTATGTTTATTTCTGTTAAACTGTTGTACAAAGATTCTGGTTGTGGTTGCATTGAAGTAACCTGAAATCAACCCGTAAAGTAACCCGAAATCAGTTCAAAAGTATTAACCTAAATTTAACATGAGCTTGCCTGAATTACAATCGGGACAGTGCTAGGGTTGAGTTTCTCAACCCGAGTTAAGGTTAGAGTTGAATATTATATACTTAGGGTTGAGCTAGAGTTGACTGTCCAACTCACCCAACCTGCCCGAGTTGCACCCCTAACTCTAACTGAATTGTACATCGAGTGAACCAATTTTCATACAATATTATTTAATTGATCAAAGTATCAGGCATGACATGAGACGATATGGTCGGACACATTATATGTTATTTGTCTTGCCTCTTAGATCAACCTCCTCATGAAACGTTGGCCTTCTTGTGTTTTTTGTGAATACGTGTTCCATTTGTAATTTTGCCATCAGATACTCCCCTTTAAAAAATTCATCTATATTATTAATAAAAAAATAATTAAGAGCATCTTCAACCATGACTCAAATTTTTATTTAAAATTAAATTAATATTTAAATAAAAAACTTGATTTGATTTAAATGGCTCCAATGGACAAATTCAAATTTAAAGAAGGAGAAACTCAAATTTAAATGTAGGTAAACTCAAATTTAAAAGAGAATAAAGATGATCATTGGATCTTTAAAAGATGGTTAAATCTCACCATTAAAGAATTGGGTAAAGATTTGAGTTTTCCTTAATTTGAATAAAAAAAAGTTTTCCTAATTTAGTATAAGTTTGAGTCAAATGTTAGAGTAAGTTTTTTGTGCTCTTCTACTTAAATTTAAATTTGAGTCTAAATTTGAGTAAAGGTTGAAGATGCTCTAAGTGAAAAACTTT